CTATTTATAGGCCTTAGTTACATAAAAATCTGCAGCTCAATAAATAGAGCAGTTGGAACCTACTTCATATTTGTGGTTCTGGTTTTTTTCTTTTGTTTAATTCACCATTCTCTACAAGCTTCCACAACATACACGTACAACCCACATATACACCAATATTCTAGGGAGTTATGATATTTTGCAGATTTATTATTCAATTAAACTTTATTTATTTTCAACACTCCCCCTTAAAGTTTAATTAGTCATTACTCCGAGTAGCGTCCTCATCTTGACGAACACATCCTGCTTCAGTGGCTTCGTGAAAATATCAGCAATCTGGTCTTCAGTCTTCACATACTTTAGCATCACTTCTTTCTGCTCCACGCACTCTCGTAAGAAATGATATCTTGTATCTATGTGCTTACTGCGATCATGAAACACCGGATTCTTTGCTAGCGCCAGGGCAGACTTGTTATCCACAAATATTTCAGTTGATTCTTCTTGTGTCATGTTCAATTCCTTCAGCAACTTTCTCAACCATATCGCATGACACACACACGATGTCGCAGCAACATACTCAGCTTCACAAGTAGATAGTGTCACGATAGCTTGCTTCTTTGAACTCCAAGTGAAAGTTGTATCTCCCAGAAAAAACACAAATCCTGTAGTGCTCTTGCGATCATCCACGTCTCCTGCCCAATCACTATCGCAGTATCCAACCAATTTGAAATCTTCTGATTTAGTATAAAGCAAACCATGATTGATTGTACCTTTTATGTAGCGCAGTATCCTCATGGCAGCGTTCCAGTGTGACATAGTTGGCGCCTCCATGTATCTGCTGACCAATCCAACTGCGTAGAGAATATCTGGTCTGGTACAAGTCAGGTATCTCAGACTTCCCACGAGACTTCTAAACTCCGTTGAGTTTACCTTCTCTCCTTTATCATCCTTGGATAACTTTAATCCGCACTCTGCTGGTGTGCTCACAGGATTACAGTTCTCCATCTTAAACTTCTTCAGGACTTCTTTGGCGAATCCATTCTGTGAGATGAAAATTCCTTCCTCCTTTTGACTTACTTCAATTCCGAGATAGTATGACATTAGTCCGATGTCTGTCATCTCGAACTCACGAACCATTGTGTTCTTGAACTCTTCAAACATTTGAGGATCATTGCCTGTGAAGATGAGATCATCTACATATAGGCAAACCATCAATATTGCTCCCCCCTTGCACCTTGCAGTATAGTGCATGCTCATGTGGGCATTTGCTGAACCCATTTTCCTGAAAATACTTGTCAATTCTGCTATTCCACGCTCTCGGTGCTTGTTTCAGACCATACAGTGCCTTTTTCAGCTTCAACACCTTATCTTCTTGACCTTCAACGATATATCCAGGGGGTTGCTCCACATAGATATCTTCCTCGAGATATCCATTCAGAAAAGCTGACTTCACATCCATCTGATGTATCTTCCATCCATTTTGAGCTGCGAGAGATATCACCATCCTGATACTCTCCATTCTCGCCACGGGAGCAAATACTTCATTGTAGTCAATGCCTGGTCTTTGACTGTATCCTTTTGCCACCAACCTTGCTTTGTGTCTGACGACTTCTCCTTTAGCATTTTTCTTGGCCTTGAATACCCACTTCACACCAATGGGCTTCTGGTTCTCAGGTAGCGACACAAGCTCCCAAGTCTTGTTCTTCACAATTGCTCCAATTTCTTCATCCATGGATTTCTTCCATTTTTCATCCTTCATGGCTTCTTCAACATCCAGTGGTCCACTATCAATGAAATGACAGTATAGTGTCAATTCATCACCTTTAATGGTTGTCGTTTCCTCATAAATTTCTTCAAGACGTCTGTACTTCTGGGGCCTCTCTTTTGGACTTTCACTTGATTCTCCTTCTGGGCTGGCAGGTTCTCTGTGACTGGGTGGACTTGTCACAGGTGTAGTTGTATCTGGTTCATCATCACTTTCATCCATAGTGAATGGATAAAAAGTGTAATTTTTCTTTGCTTCAACAGTCCAGTCCCATGTTGCTTCTTCATCAACTACCACGTCTCTGCTGATGATCAACTTCTCTTCCACGGGATCAAACATTTTGTAACCTTTTGAGTGTTCTGAGTATCCCAGGAATATGTACTTCTTGCTTTTGTCATCCAACTTCTTCCTTTCTTGATCCGGTACGTGCACATATCCAACACTTCCGAAGACTTGAAGGTGAGAGATTGTGGGTTTCCTTCCGCTCCAAGCTTCTTGGGGTGTTTGATTCCAAACACTCTTTGTTGGTGACCTGTTCAGCAGGTAGATTGCACAATCAACAGCTTCAGCCCATAGCTCTTTCGGCAGGTTCTTGCTCTTCATCATGTTTCTCGCCATGTTGAGGACAGTTCGATTCTTCCTTTCAACAACTCCATTTTGCTGTGGTGATCTTGGGACTGTGAGAAACCTGCGAATTCCTTGATATTCATAGAACCTTCTAAATTTCTTGAGCATAAATTCTCCCCCTCTATCTGATCTCATAGCTTTGATGTAGCGGCCACTTTCATTCTCCACGAGCATCTTGAACTTCTTGAAAGCTTCAAATGTGTCTGACTTCTGCTTCAAGAAGTAAACCCATGTCTTTCTACGATAGTCATCAATGAACAGTAGAAAATATTTGTTCTTTCCGAACGATGTTGGGGTGACCGGTCCACAGAGATCTGCATGGACGAGCTCAAGTGGTGCTTTAGCTCGTGACAGGGACTCCTTCGGGAAACTTGCCCTGAATTGCTTCCCAACTAAGCATCCTTCACACAATTGGTCTGGATGATTGATTACTGGTAGACCATGCACCATCTTCTTCTGACCGAGTAACTTTAGGCCTCCAAAATTCATATTACCAAATCTGAGATGCCATAGCCATGTAGTGTCCTTCACACACGCTTTCAGGCACTTCGTCATTTCTGTTTGAATGTTCAGGGTGAACATTCTGTTTCTTGACATTGGGACTCTGGCCAACAACTGATTTTTCTCATTTAACAGCTCCAATTGACGATTCACCATGTGGACTTCATAATTTTTCTCCATCAGCTGACCCAAACTCAGGATGTTACTAGTCATGTCTGGGACATAGTACACATCACTGATAAATTGTTGTGAGCCATTCTTCAGCCGGATGAGTATAGTTCCTCTGCCTTTGATAGGAACCTTCGAGGAGTCTCCAAATACGACATTTCTTTTCACCGATTCATCCATATCCACGAACATGCTTCTTTTACCGCACATGTGCTTACTTGCTACATTATCCAGATACCACATGTTGTCTCTCGGTTTTTCATCTCCTTGATGTGACAACATCAATGTGCCTTTGACTTCTTCTTCTCGCACGTTGTTTGCTGTCTCCTCCACTTCTTTAGGCGGACTCCAACATTCTGATGCATAATGCCCGTACCTCGAGCAATTATGGCACTGAACGTTGGATTTATCACGACCTTCATTTGATCTCCAACTTCCTCTTCCATGACCACGACCTCTGCCTCTGGTGGACGTTTCATAATTGTTCGTGGTGAAATTTCCTCTATCTCTGCTTTGATATGCTCCTCGATCTCTGCCTCTTCCTCTGCTTCTGTAGCTGCCTCTGCCTCGACCTCTATACTGACCTCCTCCTCGTGCGCCTTCTTTCTCTTCAGTGGTAGCTTTTGTAGCTAACACTTGTTCTGACGATTCTTCATTTCTTTTATTTAGCCTTTCCTCTCTTGCTTGCAATGAGCCGATAACTTCATCCACTGTCATCTTTGACACGTCTTTTGCTTCCTCCATGGCCTCCACCACATAGTCGAATTTTGGTAATAGCGATCGTAGAATTTTCTCCACCACTTTGGTCTCTTCAATTTTCTCCCCATACTGCTTCAGTTTGCTGACGACTGACTTCACACGGGCGGTGTAATCTGAAACAGATTCACCTTCCTTCATTTTCATGGCTTCAAAATCTCCTCTATGTGTCTGAAGTCGAACCTTCTTTACTGGTTCCACGCCTTGCATTTCCTTTTGCAAAATCTCCCATGCTTCCTTTGCTGTGGTAGCATCTGCTATTTGATCGAACATGGATTCATCAAGACACTGATGAATGAGAGTGAGTGCTTTTTTATCACTCTTTCTATTTTTTCTCAATACCTCCTTTTCAGCAGGAGATATCCAAGAATCCTCCGTGGGAATCTCATAACCTTTCTCAACAATATCCCAAGCATCTTGGGATCCCAGCAAGGCTTTCATACGGATACACCAATTTTTGTAATTGGTTTTGGTAAGGTGGGGGAATTGAATGGGGAAACTTGATTTTTCGGCCATGGGACAATTGTGATAACAAAAACACGAGAAATTCTTTTCTGATGTGGAAGTTCAGACTACGTTGTAACCACAGAGCATACTTAAGAATAACTCGGGCTCTGATACCACTTTGTTGGAAATAAATTAATTATTTCCTTATAAATATAGTTGGTGGGCACGTGTATAAGGAAGTGAAGGGTTTTTGGTTTATATATTTGAAATGGTGGAATTTTAGTGGCAGGCTATTGTGGGAGGAAAGAAGAAATGGAGTTTTAATTTGATTGGAGGAAAATTTTGGAAATGGAGCAGATGCTTTTATGGAGGAAGAAGAAAGCTTATTTTATTTGCTTCTTTTAGTTTCTGCCACTCTTGGCTCTGTATCTCTTCGTACAACATCCAAGCCTATTTATAGGCCTTAGTTACATAAAAATCTGCAGCTCAATAAATAGAGCAGTTGGAACCTACTTCATATTTGTGGTTCTGGTTTTTTTCTTTTGTTTAATTCATCATTCTCTAGAAGCTTCCACAACATACACGTACAACCCACATATACACCAATATTCTAGGGAGTTCTGATATTTTGTAGATTTATTATTTAATTAAACTTTATTTATTTTCAACAGAGAGCGTCTCATGGGACTTTTTACATCACCATCTCTGATTTGAATGACAATGCAATGCAAGTTCTATATCTCAAATCAAATCGTTAATCTGATCACAATGCAGAGATGTGGGTTTGGGGGGAGAGATTAAATGAAATCAGGGTTGAAACTAAGATATGGGGACTTGTAAATCCCTTTCCTCGATTTCCATCAAAACAGTCACCCAATCCACAAATTCAGGAGAAGGATCAAGGTAGGCAACAAAATATTCCAAAAAGAACAAACCCCCCACAAAAATAAACTAAAAGAGAGGACCCACTTCACTTTCTGCTTCTGCACCAAAATACATTTGTGGGAACTAGCTCAGCTCAGCTGTCCTCAAACTCTCTCCTTACGGACTTTGAGCAGGTTGATGTCATACACTACCCCTTCTGCTCCCTCGCTCTGATCACTATCTAGTGGGAGTGGCGGTGGAATAGTGGTCGGTATCACCTCTCCGCCATCTCCGTCTTCACTCGGATTTCCTTCCCTAGTGCTGCTGCTGCTGCTGCTTCTGCATCTGCATCATAAGCATCAAATTAACAACAAACAACAATTTGGTATCAACAAATAGAAGATTGAGTCCTCCATGTTACGATATACATATAAGTACAGACTGAATAACTGACTCGGCTACTTGCATCTTTGTTAATAAACTAACCAACCAACCAACCAACCTTGGCCATGAGGCAGCCGGGATTGTCAGCCGCCTCGACTCACCAACCCGCATTCCTGCAATCACCACAATCTCCACAAACTGAACACCCAAAACAGAAGAAAAACAGCTGGACTGACAAAAAAACATGATAACATGGAACCCTACCATTCAGACCAACATTCCAAGCCTCCATAACTCCTTCCCCACCTGTATGACAGAGATCACAAAATTAAATCAAATCAAATGAGACACCACATCCATCAAACTCTGAGTGAGATGCCAATAATCAATCTCCTACCCAGCACAAACTTTAGTGGACGCCCATCAACGTTTGAGTTAAAAGCTTCTCCACTACCCTTCCACTTGCCCGTATAAGACACACTGATCTGGAAGCACAGCAAAAGAATTAAAGAGACAAGTTGGTGATTCATAAAATCAACTAAAGAGACACATTGATGATAGCAAGCAAACGTAATTATCTATAAGGAGTCATTGAAAAAGGGAAATACGACATGTAACTGGACATAACAGAAGCACTTGCCTAAAATCAGAAGAAAATCAGGGCAGAGCTCTCACAGCTTTCCCGCAGAGACTACAAACCAAAACAGCATGTCCAGACTCTAGATTCGTCTTCTTTTTTAAAAATAATTTGACAGCTTATTTGGGTCTCCACGACCATATGGGTCTAATTCAAGAACTTAGGATTCGGTAAATCTTTTCTTTTGAGCCTAGGCTACCAATTAATCTGCACACATTCACACTAAGTAGCATAGTAACAACTCATAGCAATCAGTAACAAGCAACTTCGCTGGTTAAGAAGTATATTCTTCCAAAGAAACTACCTTCCTGCCTGGGACAGCCAATCTCCCATTCATTTTCCCTGGTTTCAGCTCCTCCACAAGTAAACCCCCTGGAAACTGAGAAAATTTGGCCTTGGCAACACCTTCAATGTTGGCAGGTTGATTGTCCTCACCCTTTGATGGAACAAATGTTTCAGCATTCAAAAGCTTCCCAAGCTCCTGCCTTTTACTTTTCCTTTTCTTTCTCTGTCCCTTTTCAGAATTGTCATGAACAGATTGACCACCAAACTCCTCGGATGATATGATCTCAATACCATCATCCTCAATATTAATAGGTACATTTTCCTTGGTCTTGGGTGACACAGAAACTACAACATTCAAAGGCTTCCCAAGCTCGTGAATGGTACGTTTCTTTGGTTTCTTACACTCTTGATCATTCTCAGCAACAACCTGATCAGCCAAACTGATAGATGTCCTGCACATCACATCATGTAGTGCTAACATTATTTAAGGAACCAGGTACAACAATTGGTCATGAAATATGTGTTGGATGTTTGCCGAACCACATAAATTTCAAGCAAGTCTATTCCAAACCGGATGTTGAAATAACAACATCGAACATTCCTCGTAAATCACTGACTCGGAGACTAAATAGCAAAGACTAAGTGCTCAAAAGCTTCAACGTCAATGCTTAGCCAAAACTACATGTCGACACTATTACCTGCCTTATTAGTTTATAGTACACACTAAACCAGCCCCTTGGTCTCTCTGCAGACTAATTGCCCTTCTTATCATTATAGTTTGGACGAGACAAAACAGCTTTCACATGGAAGTGGCAGTAAGGCATATAATGAAGATAACAAGCAAAAACACAGATATGTGATGCAAACGAATATCAATAGAGTTGTAAAATCAAGAGCTAAAAACAACAAATATACTAACATGAAAGAAGATCAAATGGAAATGAGACAAGGTGGAGACGAACTATTGCAGACCAAGAGTTAAAACATCAATTGAAAGGGATGCTCACTCACCCACAACATGCAATCTCCTTAGCTACATCCTTCAGCAGAGACAAACCATTTCCAACCTTGTTATTACTTTCCTCCTTTTCCTTTTTGGGCCACTTGAGAATACTTGCCGAGAAAAAATCATCGACACCATCAGCTTCATGCAATTTCTCCTTAGACTCATATATCCTTCTACTCTTGAGCTCATATAGGTGACTACATGAAGCAGAAGAAAAAAGTGTCAGTGTTGAATAGAAGAAATAGATGTTCTGCTTTGATTACTACTGGTCAACAGGCTGTCTTGTCAGCATTTAGTTTCATTACCTTCTCTAGCTAACATTCTATCTTGTACGCTTTCCAATTTTTTCCCTTCATTCCACATTTGATCGGCATGCATGATAATTCTAAGAGCTTATTTAGATACTTTTTCTTAATAAACAATAATATTCTGAAACAGAGGAAACAGTTTTATTGACATTTGACAACAAACAGCTTGCAGGTTGTTGTCTTTAATTTAAATTTAAGCTCCCTACTTACCTTCTTTGATTACCATCCTCTGATGGCAAGTTGATTGATGGTAGATCAGCCTTCTTCTCAACTTTTGCAGAAAGCTTCTGCTTAAAAAGTGATGATATAGGGAGCAAATCAACATTTTCTTCATTATCCCCTCCAGCTTCAACAGCATCACCAATACCCGCATATTGATGATCAGAGGAGCCATCATCTGAGTCAATTACTTGATATGCCTTCCTTAGGCGTTTATGGTGGCCCTTCCTATTCACAGGCTTAGCTTCCACCTCTTCAACTGATAGGATAGAAGACGACAATTGAATGTGTATGCGCAAGTGTATTAGAACGATTTGTTTCAGCAGCATGAGTTGAAGGAGAAAGAACAAATAAAAATTCACTTATCCCAGAAAAAGAAAGAGATGTACCTTCATCTCCTGAACCAAGGGAATCAGAATAGAAACCTGGATCACCATCATTGATAAAATTATTATTGTCGGAGTCATCTTCCTCACCGTCATCATCAGACCTTTCTGTATCTGCATCTTCAATATCTTCGCCGTAAGAGTCTCTTAGAGTCAAAAGTAAAGGAGAAACAATCCAACTTCCAACGTTGCTTTTTAAGTGTCTAATTCACAACGTGAGTAAATAAGATAGACCCAATTTGGGTCATTGACTAGCTTAAGGATTCTAGAAGTAAGCAAAACAGAAAGTTGAAGGGAGCAAACTCAAGAAGTCAACTGAAAGAGATAGAAACGTGCTCTCAACATAATCAACAAGACAAAGCATGTATAGCATTATCTTTGTATGTCAATTTTGATCGGACATAAGCAACAAAAGGATACGAGTCATCATCGACACAGTTATTCCAACCACGATCTGCATAGTAACCACTAAGGTGAACACTTCGAGGACCAATAACAGAGAATACAACATCTTCAGTCTCTTGGTACTCAACATGTATTTGGCACACCTCAGACGCAATGGGAAACAGTGAACATAGCCAGATAGGTCTCTTGTTTCCAACATTACACTGAAGTACGCTCTTGTTGGTAGCGGTACCATTCCCCAGAGAGGCCTGAGCCATAAGAAATGAAAATTAGCAGCCGAAGGAAGAACACAAAACATGTCATTCCTGATGATCCAATTCAAACACTTGGGAGGAAACTATTAGGTGAAAACAATGAACTTCGGAGCTTGTATTTAGAAACTGGAAGAGGAAGCCAACCTGGGAAAGGTGTAGCCTTCTGTTCCCACCACCAGACTGATGAGTGTAGGGCCTCCCAGGTTTAACTTCAACTCCTGAAACAGCATTAAGGCAGACAAAAATAAAAATAGCGTAAAGAGCAAATAGCCAAGCCAACCAACAGTATATGCAAAAGAATGGAACTAAATATAGATAGGATGGAAACAGTAAGAGCTGCTAACCCCAGAAAGCCATTGCTGATAGTGAGAAAAAGGAGCAGCAACAGCAACCAGTTTGGGAGAGCAGCAAGGCCTAGGGCTTCTGGAGGAAAACTAACGATTATTTATACTTTGTAAATACAAAACGACTACTTTCCCTTCCATAAAGTTGTGGTTGTGGAAGAGAGGGAGTTCGATTACCGGAGCGTTTGCTTAGTTTCCAAGGGAAATTCTACAGTCCCTTGGTTTCTCTTCTTCTCCTTGCTCTGACTGCTCCGTGCTTCGTCTCTTCGGTCTCTGAATATTATATTTATAACTACCCCTTCACCCTTCCGCCGCCATTTACAATTTTCAATAAAGAAGCTAACCCTAACTTTGGGCGCCTAATTTTTGAGCGGGAGAAGTGCATATGCGGTATGCCGAGCCCTTCCCCTTCTTTTTCTTTGTTATTTCAAAAATACTCCACGAAAATTGATAGAAATAAACTATTTATTTAGTCTTGGGCATGGCCGTCGGTTTAGGTTGGGGTCAATCAAAATCAAATCAAAAAAATAATAGATAGTAGATTGTTATTGCCTTATTGGGTTTTCTCCATTCAAAATCTTCTGATTTCTCCTTAATTTACGCTAGCGGTATTTTAGTTCATTAATCACTTAATTTTTTGTCCTCCCACCTAAATACTAGATGGGTTAGTGATCTGCCCGAGGCCCATTGATTTTCGTTAGGATTAAAGACACATTTGGTCATTGAGATTACTAAATCGGAACATGTTTAGTCACTAGAAAAAATTAATATCATTTTTTGACACTTGAATTACTAAAACATGTCACATTTAGTCACTCTCCGTTAGTCTCCGTCCAACTCCGTTAATGAAGTACGTTAAGTGTTGATGTGGCAAACATAATTGCCTAATCAGTCGGATATAACCCAACAAAAATAAAAACCCGACCCGCCACGTCATTAAAACCAACCCAACCCATGACCCAACCCAACCCAACCCTTCTTCCTCCCACCTCCTCCTTTCCCGAAAATCGTCGCCGCCGCCGCTCTCCTCCTTCCTCCCACCTTCTCCCGCAAACCTGTTCGACCTAACCCAGCAGACTCATCCCTCATCAAATCCGTTTGTCTCCTCTGTTACATTTCTTCCCCAAATCCCAACCCACCCAGAAAACCAAAAAAAACCCTTTCCCATTTCTCTCCACAACAATCTGATCTACATTCACAAAAAAAAAATTCAAAAACCAAAAAGCCGATTGGTACGAATGCTTTGCCGCAACAAGCTACAATCGACGAATCCAGACCGCTGACGATCAGGATATCCGAACCGAAGACGTGAGGAAGTGGCAAAGTGGAGCAGATCTGAAATCAACCATTCCCGCATCCCCAGCCGTCGTCTGGAAGCGAAAGAAAAAGGCGATGAATCAGCTGGAGTCAAAGCACCGCTTCATTCAACTCCGACGACCAACTTGTCGAGAAACCCAGATCGACAACAACAAAAACACCATTGCCATTCTGCCAAGCATCTCCATATGACATATCTGAAGTCATCTCGGTCATAACCTGCCGTCGAGAAATCCGACGACCAGCATCATCATCTTCCCGGCGCTTATACTCAGTCCGGTCAATCCTTCTCTCTGACGATCATGAGAGCTCCAGCCACCAAATCCGATTCGCAGACGAACACCGACATATCTGTAATCCCGCTACTAGAACTCTGTTCTTGTCAACTCAAACCCAAAAATTTTAGAAGCCCAGCCGGCGGATCTGAATCAGGAAAAGAAGTCATCGCTACTGTTGTTGTTGTTGAAAGTCGGCTGCGAAGAAACCCTCAAGGAACTGAGAATTCAACCCTTGCAATTGTTGATTTTTCCTCGATTTCTTTGAATATCTCCTGTTAGAGATCGACTACGGGCTTGATGGATTGGAGCGAATCGAAGCTGTGGATGACGGTGGTGTACTGAAGAGTTGTGGAATCTTTGGAGACGGGAAGAACGATTAGGTTTTGTATGGGATTGGAGGAAGAAATCAGAAGGGAGAGATGGGGGGATGGAAAGGAAAAGGAGGAATCGGAGAAGAGAAGTGAAATCAGAAAGGTTGGGGCTTTGTAAGTGATTGGAGGAGAAATCAGAAGGGAGGGATGGAGGGAGATGACAAGATAAAGGAAGGATCGGAGAAGAGAAGCCATTTCCGGCTGGGTTTGGTGGAATAAGAGTTTTCGAAGGAAGGAGAAAAGTATCAGCTCTAAAAATGGTCTCTTACCCAATCTATTTTGCATTTTTTAATTCGGCTTGGGTTTGGTTTATGGGTCGGGTGGGTGCATGGGTTGGTTGGGCATATGACATGGCGGGTTTAGTGACGTGGCGGGTCGGGTTTGACCATTTCCGGCCCAAAATGACGCTGACCAAATGTGTCTTTAACCCATTTTCGTTAAGTTAGCTTCCAGCCCGTTTTATACTAAGCCCAAGTATTTCTCCATCCGGCTAGGCTCAATTATTTCCCTCAATATTCATATGTTACTGATCGTGCCTCTCAGCCCACCTTATACCCAAGAGAATTAGTCTTCACGATTGTATATCAATATTTCAAAATTAATCTTCAGGACGATGACTCACCCTCCCTCCTGAGTCCTGATTGCCTTATTTATGTTTTTTTTCTATCAGTATTTTGGGGAGCGGATCGTGTCAGTAACTGATGGGTCAGTAACCCATCAGCAATTCCTTCTCTGATCTCCAAGTGTCAGTCCTCTTTTTTTTATTTAAATTAAATGCGGAAGGGCAGTAAGTTAAAATTCCACTTACACCTATTTTAATACTGACGCTGACTTTTGACCGGACCACATCAGCACCTCCTTCTCTCTCCTCGAAAAAGCTTTAATTTTTCTTCTCTCAATCTTTAACGGACAATTTCTCACTCGTTTTAAGTCGGAATTTAATTTTTTTTGCACAGTTAGATCAGATTAATTGTGCCCTTCAAAATGATATCCACTTTGATATTTTTTGGACATAAAAAAATTTCCAGTTATTACCAGTCTATACCATATGGTATTGACTGGTATTAAATAAGACCATACCACATGGTATGGTAATATCAATATATATTTCGTTACCACCCAATACCATATGGTATAGTGTGGTAATATCAATATATATTTCGTTACCACCCAATACCATATGGTATACTGTTGTAATATCACATAATACCATATGATAAAGAGTGGTAATATTAATGGGTAAATGCCACATTTGGTCACTGAGATTACTAATTCGTGTCATGTTTAGTCACTAGAAAAATTTAATGTCAATTTTGGTCACTCGAATTACTAAATTAGGTCACATTTAGTCACTCTCCCATTAGCCCCCGTCCAACTCAGGTCACTCGAATTACTAAAACAGGTCACATTTAGTCACTCGAATTACTGAAACATGTCACATTTAGTCACTCTCCCGTTAGCCTTCGTCCAGCTCCATTAATGGAGTTGGACGGAAACTAATGGGAGAGTGACTAAATCTGACCTGATTCAGTAATTCGAGTGACCAAAATTGGTATTAAATTTTCTAGTGACTAAACATGACACGATTTAGTAATCTTAGTGACCAAATGTGGCATTTACCCTAATATTAATATATATTTCGTTACCACACAATACCATACATTACCATAAGGTATAATTTGTAATATCAATATTTATTTCGTTACCACCCAATACCATATGGTATAGAGTGGTAATATCACACAATACCATATGGTATAGAGTGGTAATATCAATATATATTTCGTTACCACGCAATACCATACATTACCATAGGGTATAGTGTGGTAATATCAATATATATTTCGTTACCACCCAATACCATATGGTATAGAGTCATAATATCAATATATATTATCTAAAAGGAAAAACACAGAAGGAGGGAGAGAAAAAATCGTCTTCTGATGCCTCTCATTTCCTCTTCCTCAATCAAGAACACCAAAATGCCAAAAAAATGAGAAAGATCAGAATTGAGGCCAACGAGTTGATGAAGAGAAGAAATGCAATGAAAGAGAGTGGCTACAATTTTTATTCGTCGATTGCTAGAGAAAAAAAATGAAGAAGAAAGAGAGCAGATCTAAATTTGAAAAGGAGATTGTGAAATAAAAAGTAAGAGAGAAGGAATAGAGAAAGATAAGGATCTGGAAAGAGATTGAAAGAAAAGAAAAGAGAAGAAAGAAAGTTGAGTTGCAGAGAAAATGTCATTCTCTCTCTTTTATTGAAAAGTCAGCCATTGAAATGCGGAATGAATAAAAAAAATTAAAAATACAAAAACGGACAAAAATGCCCCTCTCCACCCCACATCCAGCCCAGCCACACGATTGCTCCATTCCCAAATCTACGACTCCCGTGTGGTTATTGATGGGTCAGTAACCAGTGGTTACTGTCCTATCTTCTTGGACCAGTATTTTGAATTTTATAATCAAAACCAACTAATAATGATGACGATAATAAGTTAAAAACAACAACAATGAGAATCTGCTTTTTTTTCTTCTTTCAAAGTAGAAGATAGCCTACTTTTTAATCCAATCATGCTAGTCGCTAGACGAAGCATATACACAACAATATCCCACATGTTAAAAAAACAAAGCAGTGGATTCTCTCCTCTTCTTCTTGAGCGAACGACGAAACCAGGATGGTGGAAGGCTCCGCAACCCAAACCCCGATCTACTTCGCTCCGATTTCCATAATCCACCACCGCCAGTAGCAACCTACCGTCTGCAAACTCCCTCAATCGTCGATCTGGTCTCGATCTCCCTCTCATTGATTTCATCACCTGCCGCCGCCTACATCAACCCACCATCTGCTACAAGTTCCTACGCGGCAGAGGAACCATCTCGGATCGCCAGCCAGCCTCGCTCCTCTCCTTCTGCTGATCTTCTGTTGCGAAGTCAACCTTCTCTTCTCAGCCTGACTTTGCAATTCTCTGGCGGTGTAGGTTTGGCAGAATTAGGGTTTCGAATTTGGGGATTTTTACCTAATTTCCGAATTGAGGTAAAATTGCAGCTTGATTACGATTCAACTGGTGGTTCTTATCCTCCTCAGCTGGTCAGCACGACGAAATTACGAACTCTCAGCCTAATTCAGCCTTCTTCAGATCGATTAGGTACGTCCTCGGAGGGTCGAATGAGTATATCTCACTATCGCCGTTGTGCGAGCTCGCCTTTTGGAGGCCTTCTCTTTTGAGAGTCTATACAGCAACCACAACAAATCAGAGACCTGCTTGCCCTGTCCCTAGTCTCTCTATGGCCATCCTTGCCTGGAATTGTCGGGGTCTTGGTTCCCCTTTGACGGTTCCATCTCTCCGTGCAGCTGTTAATCGCTTCTTCCCATTTATGGTGTTCTTGAATTTGACTCGGGT